TATATATATATATATATATATATATATATATATATATATATATATATTTCTCTATCTGTATGTGTGAGTGTGTGTGTGTAAGCATACACATGCCCTGGCACTTACATGGAGGTCAAAGGACAACTTGTAGGAGTCAATACTCTTCTTCCATGTGGGTCTCAGAGAGTAAATTCAGTTCGTCAGGCTTGCCAACAATTGACTTTACCCACAGAGCCACCTCATTGGCCCTGAATGCTGGACTTCCTTACATTTAAAAAAAATGGGCTGGAGAGATGGCTCAGAGCTGTTCTACCAGAGGTCCTGAGTTCAACTCCCAGCAACCACACGGTGACTCACAGTCATCTATAATGAGTTCTCTTATGGTGTGTACAAGTTGGAGAGAATCAAGTGTTGTTCTCTGACCTCTTCATATGTACTATGGCACTTTAGTGCCTCCTCTCCCTTCCCCACATACCAAATAAAAGTTAATTTATTTTTTAAGAGGCACTTATAATCCCAGCCATGTGAAGGTAAAGAGAAGTGAATATCTGGGGCTCTCTGGCTAACCAGTCTTCACAAGCTCCAAGCCAGTGGGAGATTCTGTCTCAAAACACAAGATGGAAGGCACATGAGGAGTGACAGCTCGGTCTTGACACGCATGCATGCATATACACACACCCACAAACCAACACACACACACCAAAAGCTAGATATTGCCCGAGTCACAGGTTAGGGAATCGTGAAGCTTTTTTACCCACATCCACCAAGTTTTCTGACTGGATATGGCTGCCACAACGACCAAGAAGCTCCAGAAAAGCAGACATGGCAGCTCTGGCTGAGCTTGAACTAACGAGACAGGTCATGGGGCCAGGGTAGAACCCCCAGCAATTCTTCAATGGGAGAGACTCCAGAGTGGCCTGCAGCGACTGGATGCCAGGGTGAACGTCCTGCTACTGATGGCTTCGGACAGAAGCCTGGTATAATACTACAGTTCATTTGTGAGGTAGCAAATCATAAGCTTTACAATGAGATCTAGGAAGGAATCCCATGTCACCGTGGGACATCATGTCCCCAAGACCATCAAAGATGGGGGTGCTATTTGGCACTATGAGGTTCAGAACATCAAATGTGAATCACAGATCTTTGTAGATGATGTTAAAAAGATTGCTCACAGAGGAAACCCAGAGAAATCAAAGCTGATGTAATGAACTGGGTTTGGTGGCACACACCTGCAATCCCAGGAGGAGGCAGGAAGTTCAGAAGTTCAGAAATACCTTGGGCTATGTAGTGAGTTCAAAGCCAGCCTGGGACATTGCCAAAAAAAAAAAAAAAAACCCTTTTTGATTCAGTGAATGAACGAATCAAATGGTAGATGGATGAGAGAAAAAACAAGAGCTGGAAAAAGGGCTCTGAGAGTAAGTGTACTTGTTGTACAAGCAGGAGGACTGAGTGTGGATCCCCAGAACCCAAGAAAAAAGTCACAGCCCAGTGAGATGCTTCAGTGGGTAAAGGTGCTTGTCACTAAGCCCAAAGACCCAACTTAGATCCCACGAATCCCCATGGTTGAAGGAGAGAACAGACTCTTGCAAATTGTTCTCTCACCTCTGCTTGTGTGCTGTGGTTCACACCTGCCCTAACACACACACAAAGTAAGTAAATAAAAACTAATTAAAATAAGTAAGGCATGGCTGCAAGCACCTGTGATCCCAGGGCTGGGGAGTGAAAACAGAATCTCTGAGGCTCACAAGTTTAGCTGAAAATTGTTGAGCCTTAGGTTCATTAAGGACTTGCTCCTTGAACTACAAGTGTGTACATACACATACATGTGTGTGCACACATGTATGCATGCACACACAGACACACATGCACACTTGTTTTTATTTTATAAGAATAAAGCAAAGGAAGTAAGGAAAGGAGAAATGAATAGTTGGATTGATTGATGGATGGATGGATGGATGGATGGATGGATGGATGGTTGGATGGATGGGTGGGATTAGCAGGTGGATGAATGAAAAGAGGGATAGGTAAATGGGTAGGTGGTAGGTTAATGGTTGATATGTACATGAATTATTGAGTGATTAGATGGATGGATGGGTGGATGGATGGATGGATGGATGGATGGATGGATGGATGGATGGATGGGTAGGCAGATGGAGGGATTGGTAGGTAGATGAGTAAGTGGACAAATGGGTGATTAGGTGGGTGGGTAATTGGATGTGTGAACAGACAGACTGGTGGATGAAGATAGGCAAAAATGGGTGAGTAAGTAAGTGAATGGAAGGATGGATGGAAGGATGGATGGATGGATGGATAAGCATATGTGTGGTTGAACAGGTGAACAGATGGTTGAGTGGGTGAACAGATGAATACATGGAAAATTGTATGTATGCATGCATGGATGTATGATTGGGTGATTGGGTGAGTGGAAGGACAGATGAGTAGATGAATAAATAGAAAGATGTGTGTCTGGCTGGCTGGCTGGCTGGCTGGCTGGCTGGACTAATGGATACATCCTTCTTGTACACCAATGTTTAATTTAAGATATGTTACATTTGTTTATGCGGTGGAATATCTGTTTAACAATAAAAAATGTATTGAATTCTTTTATGTTGCATCTGTTTCACTTTGTAAAGCTGTGTTACTTTGCCTGTCTAAAACACCCGATTGGCCTAATAAAGAGCTGACCAGCCAATAGCTAGGCAGGAGAGGAATAGATGGGGCTACCAGGCAGAGAGAATAAATAGGAGGAGAAATCTCGGAGAGAGAAGAGGAAGAGGAAAAGCAAGAAAAGGAGGAGAGGAGGACGCTAGGGTACAGCCACCCAGTTATACATCCAGCCACGGAGTAAGAAGGAAAGAAGGATATATAGAATAAAGGAAGGTAAAAATCCCAGAGGCAAACGTAGTTAAATAGAAATGGGATAATTTAAGTTAGAAAAACTGGACCAACTAAGGCTGGCCATTCATAAGTAAGAATAAATCTCCATGTATTTATGTGGGAACTGGGTGGTGGGCCCCTAAAGAGTTAAAAAAAGAAAACTACACACCATAGAAAGGTTTGAATGGAGGGGAACCCAAGAAAGAGGTACGTGCACCCAGGGTGACTCAGCCACCCACGTACCCTTCCCTGCACTGGCAAACGCAGGCACAGTCATCCTTCATCAGCAACACTGGCCGGCACACCCCTTCTGCTGCCTTTCTGTGCCCAGCCCATGCAAGGTGAAGCTAGTGATCCAAGGATGGCTCTGCTCCACTCCCTGCCTGTGGGAGCTCCTGGGTGGGGTGGGAAAGGGAAGGAGAGGCCCACACCAGTCAATTATCAAACCAGCAGAGGGTGTGCCAGTTACTAAGAAAGTCACAGAGTAGGGCTCCTGGAAAGACCCAAAAGGCTTCTAGGTGGAAGTAGCACCGAAAGCAAGGTAGCAAGACAGTCAACTTCTCTCGTCTTGACTTTGGAATCCAGGCTAAACTAGTCAGGAGTCTTACTGACACCCAGATCTGGTCAACTACTGCCTGGCTCATATACCTGCCATTGGCCCTAGCACCCCAGGATAAAGTGGAAACCCATCTGCTTCTTGGTCCAGCTTCTTCGGAACTCTCAGTCTCATTTCTCACTCCCCACGCACACCCCCTCCACTCTACCCACTCAGAGCACCTGAGTTCCCCTAGACCTTCCCACATCTGTACCTCTGGACTGGCAAGCCTCTCCATCTCGGACTCTACACCTGGTTAACTCCTACACATCCTTCAAAGCCTGGCTTTATTGACCCCCTTTTCCCAGGAAGCGCTCTTGCAGGGGGATCCTTTTCTGCCCCATCCCCTGGCTCATCCTCAACTCTATCCCTGTTCTTCCACGATGGTCTTGCTAGAAAGGAAACTACCTCAACCAGACCGGTAGTGCCACTTCAAGGGAAAGTGCTTTGGGAAGGCTCCTACTACGCGGTGCCCAGCTCAGAGATGCTCAGACACACAAAACTGTTCTTGACAGCCAGGCCTGGGGTCAGACTTCAGCCCTGCTGATGCTTCTTATGAAAACTTAGATCACCACTCTGAACCTCCATCTCATTTTCTTTATTATTTTTAATAACATTTCCGTGTATGAGTGGGTACATGTGTGTGTATGAGTGCCAAGCAAGGTATGCTGGTGAAGGTCAGAGGACACCCTGCAGGAGGAGGTTCTCTCCTTCCACCATGGGGTTCTGGAAACAAGCTCAGGTCTTCTGGCTTGGCAGCAAGCGCCTTTGCCTGCCGAGCCATCCTGCCCCTCACCCCGACAGATACTCCATAAATCTGCAAATGTGTCATTGATAGATGAACCAACTGTTGGCTGGTTCATTACTCTAATTACAGTTATCACTTATTGGCAGCAAGCACTTGTGGATTGAGTACTGAACAATTAATGCACAGCCTCTGTGGAAAACGGCAAGGGAATTTCTTAGAAAGTAAAATACAGAGCTGAGGAGTATGATTCAGTAGGTAAGATGCTTGCCTCCCAATGGTGAGGAGCTGGATCTCCTGGAGCCAGTTAAGACCAGACAGGGTAGTCCCTCTGCAGCGAGGTGGGAGGTGGGGACAGGTGAAGGTCTCTGGCCAACAGCAGTGAACAAGAGACCCTGGACCACAGCTGACCCAGCAGGTAAGGGTACGTGCTTCCAAGCTCCATACTCATACACCTAAACATGCATACACAAATAAAAGCAATAAAGCCGTTTTTTAAAAAGTGAAATAGAAGACTCAGGAGACAGGATTTAGTAGCAGAGCGTTTGCCAATGGTCCTCAAGACCCTGAGTTCCATGCCCAGTATTAGGGGAGAAAGGCAGAGGAGGGCCAGTAAGAGGGCACCTGCCACACAGGTCAAACAAACTGAGTTTGATCCCTGGGACCTGTGTGGTTGAAGGAGAACTGATTCCCACAAATTGTCCTCTGACCTACACACACACACACACACACACACACACACACACACACACACACAAATTTTAAAAAAATCTGTTGTGGGAAAAAAAGAAAGAATAAAGGGGCAGAAGCAGAAGAAGGGGGACTGTGAGAGCGAACGTTCCCCGCAGGATTGTACACAACAGCCATCGGGTAGGTGAACAAGTAGTTTGATCCATCTCTACAGTGGATCATAAAAAGAGCACGGTGGTATGGAGGGACCGGGAAGACAAAAGGCTGACTCGGAGAAACCAGACACACAAAAATTCTGGAGGCAGCAAGTCCATCTGGATGGAAAGCGGGTTCTGGGAACCAGGAAGCTCAGCAGGGAGGAACCAGAGGCAAGACTGCCTCAGGCGCAAGCTACTGTGGGAATGATGAAAAGCTTTGAAACTAGAGAGAGTGAGCTGTTGCACAACCCTGCGAACACACTGACGCACACCAATGCACTGTACCCCTGGGCTGGTTCGGCCTCAATAAGGAGAGAACACAGTGAGGGGGAATGGGGTCCAGCCTGGGCAACAGTGACAGTGGAGGTGGACAGACTCACAGGGAGGGGCAGGAGGACTGGAAGCTCCGGGGGACCACACTACCCAAGTGGTGGCACACAACTGAGGGGATCTTTGGTGTGAGCCAGCCTGAGTTAAATAAAAAGACCCTTTTCTCCACATACCAAACCAGTCCCCTTGGGGCTGTGAAGAAAATCAGCTCCAGGCAAGGTCATTCTTGAAGATCCACTTCAAGTGGAATGGAGCTGGTCAGACTCACTCACCCCAAAGGATTAGGACTGAGAATGGCGGGTCTAAACCACAGAGACTCCTGGAGGATTCGGGAAGGACTTCCTGGAAGACAAGGCCCTTGGAACTGAGTGCTGAGAATGACTGAGAAGTCACAAGCACACTTGGGAGATAAGTAGGGACAGCAGACAGAAGTATCCACATCTGCCTCCCTGCCAGCCGGCTGCCCATGGGATCACTGAAACACTTGGTCGTGGTGAGTAGGTCACAGTCTTAATGAAGAGAATACCATGACCACGTCCTAGAATTGAACACTTACCCAAATCTGGATGAACAATTTGGATGAACAAATTACTTAGATGTGACTTCCAGTAAGTGCACAGCCTTGCACAGTTCCTGAGACTCTCACATACTCTCACACTTTTTCCCATGTTCTCCCAGCCTTTATTGCCTGGCCCTCTTTGGTGAACTTCTGTTCATTCCTCAAATCCCTACTCAAGTAACTCTTCCTCCATAGTACCCTCAAGTCTACAAGCCCAGGAAGGTTCTGGGAGTTGAAAGTTCACTCATGCCTTTGAGGCTCAACCAGCCTACCTGAAGCACTCAACACAGGCTTGATGTAATCAGGATGTACAAGCACCAAGAGAGGCAGGAAAGGTCCGACCCATGCCAGGATGATGTGGTGCATGGTATCCAGGACTTTCTCCTCCTTTTGAAGGCCCTTCTCGTTGGGAAGATACTGCGGCAGACAGAAACGGGCAACAAAGACATGACAGCTCATTTTATTCTGTTCCTTCTCCCTCCCACTACTGCCTCTCTCCTGCAGAACACTGAAGATGGGTCTCTTGTTGCTCTTCTCTGAGTCTCCCCCTCCTCTAAAAGTAGTAAGAACAATAGGGTTGGGGGTGTGACTCAGGGATGGAGCCCCAGCCTAGAATCCCTTAGTGAAGGGCAGGGGTGTGGCTCAGGGGTAGAACTCTTGCCTAGTATTTGTGAAAACATGGCTTTCAAAGGTAGCATAACAGGGAGAGTGAGAGAAAGAGGAAAAGAGAGAGGAAATAGTAAATACAGCAATAAGAGTTGGCATTTATCAAATATTTGATGTATGCCCTCTTTAGTTTTGTCACCTGGATGGCTGAGAATAGAGGGATTGTGTAGATCTGACTGACCTATAGCTATGTGGGGGGGGGAGATTATCTTTATTGGTAATTGATGTAAGAGGGTCCAACCCACTGTGGTCAGTACCACCCATGGGCAGGTGATCCTAGTTGTATAAGAAAGCTCCCCAAGCCAAGGGGAGCAAGCTAGTAAGCAGCACACCCCCATGGTTTCTGCTTCTCCCCTGACTTCCCCCAGTGATTGACGGTGACCTGGAAGCCTAGTCAAACAGCCCCTTTCCTTCCCTAAATGGCTTTAGGTCAGGGTGTTTTATCATAGCCACAGAAAAGCAAAGTAAATACAATAATACAATATTAGTTTAGAAAAATACTATTAAAGTGTTTATAGTGGCACATGTCTGCTGTCTCAGCATTTGACAGATAGAGGGCAGGAAGATCAGAAATTCAATATCATCCTTAGCTACATAATAGGTCTGAGACTAGACTGTGTTAGAGGCGTTCCCTGGGGAGTGAGTGAGAGAGAGAAAAAAACAGAGAGATAGAGACACAGAGACATACAGAGAGAGAGAGAGAGAGAGAGAGAGAGAGAGAGAGAGAGAGAGAGAGA